TCTGTAAAATGAAAAGGTTAGTCTTGGTGGCTTGAGAGGTCCCTTCCAGTTCTATGAACCTATAATCTTATTTGTTATAAGGAATGGTTCTATTAGTAGAAGATGAGATGAATCACTGGGAAGTGACAATGATATAAAAAAGAGAGATTTTAAAAACATTTTTTAAGTTTTCCTGCCTTTAAAAAGCTTGTTTTTATCTTTCAGTCATTGTTGTTACTGTTGTAGCACCCTTCTGGGTTACTCCATAACTTGCTAACCCTTGAGCATTTGGTTGCCCAGAAGGAAGTTCTAGGAATGACCATGAGGGTCTGTGCTACCTACCAGTGTGTGAGCTCCCATCAGTGTGCCTCCCACTAATAATCTGTCAGAGAATTTGGTTAACTCTTACCAAAGGCATAGTAAGATCACTTGTTATAAAATATTGTCCCATAAACACAGCATCCATGGTAAAAATGAGCTCAAACTTAGAGCCCAGTGGTAATGGGACAACAATATGGGATACCCACGTGGCAGAGGCAACTCATGGTAAGGGCCTGGAAGTCTCTCATTTTCTAGAGGAGAGAGCTGGTAAGATTAAGAGAGAGAAAATCCCTCAAACTGCACCAGGCCCTTCATCTCAAGAGACAATTACGATTTAGGAGTTGGTTACACTAGTGTTATTATATTAGAAATTGTGTTTAACTTATTAAATTAAAAAAATAAAATTTAAAATAAAAAGTTATATGAAGGGGGGAAAGGGGGAAAGCATTTATTTAACAGCTAGGTAGTGAAGTGGATAGTATGCTAGGCCTGGAGTAAGGAAAACTTATCTTCCTGAGTTCAAATCTAGTCTCAGACACTTAGTAGCTGTGTGGCCCTGGGTAAGTCACTTAACCCTATTTGCCTCAGTTCCTCATCTGTAAAAAAACTGGAGAAGGAAATGACAAACCATTCCAGTATCTGCCAAGAAAGCTCCAAATGGGGACATGAAGAGTTGGACATGACTGAAATAACTGAACAAAAACATTTATATGCCACCCATTATGGGCCAGGTGCTTTACAAATATTATCTAATTTAATCCTCACAATAACCCAGCATTAACAACCCAGTTATTATCCTTGTTTTACACTTGAGGAAAGTGAGGCAGAGAGAGGTTTTTAAGTATCTTGCCCAGTAAGTGTCTGGGGCTGGATTCGAACTCAGATCATCTTAACTCCTGACTCCAGAGAGGGTCACTTAGTTGATGAAGTCAGTTACCACCATCCTATTTCTCTTTTTCCTTTTTCCTTCCAATGATCATAGTACTGAATAGACAATGAAAATAATTCTTCAAAAGATCTGAGTGTCTTAGTGGCCTGCAAGCAATATGTTGGTCAATGGGGTGATATGTAGGCCAAAAGACTAATAAGATCTTAGACTATGTGAAGTCGGGCATCACTCCTAGGAATAAAGCATTGCTTATTTCAGTGTAGTCCTCTGGTCAAGCCACATCTGCAAAACTGAGTTCAGTTCTGAAACCTGACCATTTAAGAAAGGTATTGAAAAGCTGGAAAGTATCCATGAAAAGGCAAGTAAGATGGCAAAAGGCAGAAAGACCATGTCATCAAAGGATCATTTGAAGGAGCAGAGGACACACTTGAAGGATCTGATCACATTTAGCCCGGAGAAAAGAAGATTCATGCTGTCTCAAGCATCTGAAAGGCTGTCTTGTGAAAGAGAAATTGGAGAAAAGCCAGGAATAGTGGCTTAAAGTTTCAGAGGTAGAATTAGCCTTGATGTCGGGAGCAATTGGAGCTCCTCCAAAGTACAATGTGCTTACTTGGGAGATGATGACCTTCCCATCATCGGGGGTCTTCAAGCAGATCTTGGATGGTGCACATGTTGGGCATGTTACAGCAGAGATTGGGTTTTTATTAGGGTGGTAAGGTTGCTGCTGAAGAATTAGGAGCAAGCCTCCAACTTTCACCAGCTGTCCAGTTTGCTACACTCCTAAATCTATTGGGATGCTAGGATCTTTTGGCTTCATCCTTTAAAAGGCAGCAAAACTCAATCCACAATCTATTTGCAAAGTTATGCTTGAGAGCCATACTTGTATCGTAGACCCCTTTGGCACAGTCTAAGGAAGCCTATGGACCGTTTCTCAGAATAATGTTTTTAAATGCATGAAATAAAATATATATGCTTATGAAGGAAACAAATTATTTTGAAATAGTTATCAAGAAAAAGGTTTTTTTAACTTCATAGATCCCAAGTTAAGGGGGCAACTAGGTGGCACAGTAGATAGAGCTCATAGCCTTTAATCAGAAAAACTCATCTTTGTGAGTTCAAAACTGGCCTCAGACAATTACTAGCTGTGTGACCCTGGACATGTCACTTTACCCTATTTGCCTCAATTTCCTCATTTGTAAAATGAGCTGGAGAAGGAAATAGCAAACCACCCTCAAAAACCCAAATAGGGTCACAAAGAATCAGATAAAACTGAACAAGAAGAACCCCTGGAATAGTCTTAATTCAATGATACAAACTATCAGAGTACCCACCATTCTCTTTGATCTCTAAAGGCTCTCTCTCCTTACTTTTACCTGTCAAAATCCCTGGTTTCCATCAAGACTCAGCTGAAACGTCACCTTCTGCATGAGGCTGTTCCTGACCCATCCCAGCTATCAATGCCCTCTCCCACAAAATTATCTTGTATCTGCTTTGCATGTGGTGTGTGTGTGTGTGTGTGTGTGTGTGTGTGTGTGTGTGTGTGTGTGTATGCTATCTCCCTTGAGGGAACATAAGCCTCCGGAAGGCAAGGACAGTTTTACTTTTGTCTTTGTATCTCCATCTTGTAGCCCAGTGCCTGGCCCATGGTTAGAATTTAATTAATACTTTTTAATTGATTTATTTATTAATTGATCAGAGCTATCCTTAGTTCAACATACACATGTATCAATAATGACTTCTAGACAATAAAAATAAAATCCTTAACAATAATCACAGGGATATAAGGCACACAGTGATTGCTATTAAGAGGAACTGTTCTCCTAAGCCCAGTTGGGTCCTCTTAGATTGGATCCATGTGGTTCTGAAAGAGAAGAAGGAGGAGGAGGAGAGGAGGAGGAGGAGGAGGAGGAGGAAGAAGAAGAAGAAGAAGAAGAAGAAGAAGAAGAAGAAGAAGAAGAAGAAGAAGAAGAAGAAGAAGAAGGAGAAGAAGAAAAGGAAGAGGAAGAGGAGGAGAAAAAGAAGAAAAAAGAGGAGAAAAAGAAAAAAAGAAGAATGAGGAGGAGCAGGAAGAGGAAAATAAAAAGAAGAAAAAGGAGGAGGAGGAGGAGAGGAATTAAAAAGAGGAGAGGAGGAAAAGAAGAAGAAGAAAAAGAATGAGAAGGAGGGGAAGAAGAAGAATGAGAGGAGGAGGAGGAGGAGAAGGAGGAGGAGAAGAAGAAAAAGAAGATGAGGAGGAGGAGAAGGAGGAGAAAAAGAAAAAGGAGGAGGAGGAAGAGAGGAAAAAGAAGAAGAAGAAGAATGAAGAGGAAGAGGAGGAGGAGGAGGAAAAGAAAAAAAGGAGAAGAAAGAGGAGGAGGAGGAAGATAAGAAGAATTAAAAAGAGGAAGAGGAGGAAAAGAAGAAGAAAAAGAATGAGAAGGAGAAGAAGAATGAGGAGAAGGAGGAGGAGGAGGAGAAGAAGGGGGAGAAGAAGAAGAAGAAGAAGAAGAAGAAGAAGAAGAAGAAGAAGAAGAAGAAGAAGAAGAAGAAGAAGGAGAAGAAGAAGAAGAAGAACGAGGAGGAGGAGGGGGTAGAGACTGTGACAAAGTCTGTCTTCGGAGACTGGGGATACTCCTATCCTGGCAGAAGCCAGGTAGGGAAGGAGCAGGGTCTGGCCCTGCTTGCTCTCCATTCAAATGACTGGAAGGTGACCCTGCAGGGGACAGTGGAGCTGGGGACAATTCATAACACTCAGTCGGACCAGATGGCCATAGAAACCACTTCCAACTCTCAGGACCAGGATAAAATCGGGAGCTTTTGTTTTTGCTGCTATCCATCAAAAGCCCATGAATGAATCCCCAAGAATGGAAATTCTTGAGATAAAATATAAAAGAGGGAGGTGTGGAGGAGGAGGAGGAGGAGGAGGAGGAGGAGGAGGAGAAGGAGGAGGAGGAGGAGAAGAAGAAGAAGAAGAAGAAGAAGAAGAAGAAGAAGAAGAAGAAGAAGAAGAAGAAGAAGAAGAAGAAGAAAGAAGAAGAAAAGGAAGAGGAAGAGGAGGAAAGTGGTTAGCAGGAGCACTTTACATTTCTTTCCACCTATCCTTGCAGCTGGATCTGTGATTTTATTGTTATAAGGAATTTCCAGATAAGGAAAGTCCTTCTCCCAATGCAGGCCAGCACCTTCTCTGCATCTTATGTCTTAAAGGTTAGGAGCACTGAGTTATTAAGTGATTTGCCAGGATCACCCAGACCATATGTGTGCAAGGCAGGGCTTGATCCCAGGTCTTCCTGACTCTAAAGCTGGCTCTCTTTTCACTACATCATGATGCCTCTCCCTCCCTGACCACCTCCACTCCACAACAAGCTCACTATTTTAAGACCCACCCCACCTCCCAGGTCCATGTGGCAGTTTAATCCAAATATAGTACTTCTGTATCTAGAATGGTTAACACCGAGGCTCTAGAAAATTTTGTAGAGTCTTCAAGTTGGGATGGACCTTCAAAATACATAGCTGGCTTTTCTCAGACTGTTGTTTGTCCTTCTTTATCAAAGGGGACCATGACATCAGGAAGGTGATGCTATGGCTTGCAAGTAAATTGGACTTAAGTGAGGGAGGGCTGTGCAAAGTCACCAGCCTCACTTTCCACTCCTCCTCAGGACACCTGGAGATGGCCCCAGATGCAGTGGGAGACTTTGACCTCTTTTTTTTTTTTTTGCAGTCAGCTCTTCTCAGACACAGAGAAGGTAAAGAACTTTACTTGATGTCATCAATCAATCAATCAATATTTATTATCAATCAATAAACATTTATTAAGTGCCTGCTATGTGCCAGTCACTGTGCTATGTACTGAGGACACAAAAAGAGGAAAAAGAGAGTCCTCGCCCTCAAAGAGCTTACAATCTAAGGAAGTAGCTGAGCCTTGATTCAAACACAGGTCGCCAGATTCCAAATCCAGGGCTTCCTACTTCCTATCCCATGCTCTGAAATCACTTTTCATGATCATTTCTAGTCATTTCTGAAAGCCAAAAGAGAAGACAGTTATCAATGTAACTACAACTAAAAGTCAACTTCTCTTACACATTTCACAAAATATTGTGAATCTATTACAGGAAAATGAAAGTTTCATTCAAGCATTCAGAGTATTCAGGACCTAGGCTATGGCCTATGAGAACTCCCAGGGCTCTCTGCGGGTGATAGTTTGTTTCTTCCTTGGATAAGTTTCTCCAACAGTTCCTGGGCCTCTGGAAGCCCCTGACCTGCAGCCACACCAAGAAGCATCTCGACCTCCCTAGGAGAGAAAGAAAGTGTCAGTTAGATGTTCAGAGAAAAAGGATAAACCCATCCTCTCATCCCCTTCAATAAGAAATAAAAGTACCAGTGTGCACCTCATGAGCGTAATGGAAGACCAGACAATGACCCCCACCCTTATGAGCAGGAATCAGCATAATCTGCTGAGGGAATTCCCACAGGTGGAAGATGTCTCATTCAACAGCCAGGCTGCATTTGGATGTGAAATTGGCAGCACCGATGCTCTCTAGAAACTGCATTAAGCCTGAAATCATTCTCCCCAGGGATAGCAGGGGTGTAGGGTCAAGAACATGCCCCCCGAGGGGTTTTGAGAAAATGTTTGTGCTTCTCTTTTTGTTGTATCTGTGAAATAAATATTCCTTTGCAAAAACTAATTGATAAAAAAAAGAAAATTAAGTCTAATTGATGTTAAGTGGCTAACCATAACTTAAGCACTAGTACTATTACCACAAAAAAAAAACTGCTATAAATATTTTGGAAGACCATGTGCTTCTGGTAAAACTAAGCCAGGAGCCACAGGGTGAGTTAACAGCAAAATAGTAGCAATTTTTCTTTTGCTTCCCTAAGATTCAAAGGGATAGCCATGTGTCTGAAGAGGTTTGGCTACTAAACAGTCCTGCCCACAGGAAGGGAAGGGGAATGAGTTGTCTGAACACACTTAGGAGGTCCGCTGCATAGGCAGATGATTGATAGCTTGGTCAGTCTTGCTCCCCAATGTCTGCTGGGGGTTCTATGTAAAGCCAGGAAGGGCACCTGGTTGTGATAGTGGTAACATCCTGCCCTAACAAATACCTCTCCATGCAAGCTAAGCTGGTTTTTCCTTAAGAGATATTGAAACCATTCTCAAGTCTTGGTTGGCTCAGGGACTAAGGGCTCAGATTGCTGACATCCCTTCCTTGTTGCAGGAGTATAAAGCATCATAAGCAACTTGAACAAGGGAGTTTCACTAAGCTGAATCAGCTTGAGGTGTCCTCAATGTCTGTCCTACTTTGATGATGTCAATCTCTCTGTTACCTGTTGAATGACCTACAAGTGCCCATGTGGTTCCACAACCAAATCTAAAGTAACAGGGGACTAGTCTGAGTCAAGCCCAACCCGAAATAATACTCCTCTCCAATGCCAAAATCTATGATCTTATGAAATATTCCTTTAAAACAGTCATTCTCAAACTTTTTGGCCTTAGGACCCCTTTACACTCAAAAATTTTGAGGACCTTCCTCCAAAGAGCTTTTATTTATGTGCACTATGTCTATTGATATTACTGTAATAGAAATTAAAACATATTAAGATTATTATAAAAATAGTTTTGACCTTAGAAACCCTCTGAAAGGGTCTCAGGAGTCCAAGGGGTCATAAGGCTATACTTTGAGAACTGCTTTAAAACATTTGAAGCCCAACTATTTTACTACAGTGGGATTGTTTCCCAGCCAAAATCCTTAGCACAAGGATAGAGGCCCACTCCCCACAATGGTCATGAGTGCCTACAGATGCTTTTTGTGACTCCCAACTGGAAAGGGACAACTAAAAAAGTCCAGTATGTGAAGACTTTCCCCAGCAGAATGGGAGAATGAGAATAATTTGTTTCAATGGTCACGGAGGCTGCTGAAGCAGGCACTGTAAAATGCTTGGAGCTTGGTCAGACATTGAAGATGCCAAGGCCATCTACTGCATCCTGGGCCATCACCAGCTATCTTGACTTTTGTCCTGCCACTGGCCTTCAATGACTCAGTAACAGAGAGAGAGGCTCAAGACTTTGTGCCGCTCTGGTTTACTTAAATCCAATTCATAAGCAAGTCAAAACACAAGTCAAGAAACGATGACCTTGGTCCTCTTCGAAAAATGAAGGACAAAGAACAACAACAATGAAAAGTCCTCCTTCACAGAAAGCTACTTATTTTCTCTAGTTAGCCACGCCAGAAATAGCTAACAAAGAAAACTTACAGGCCCCAGACCAGTTCAAAAACCCTGCTCTAAGGACACATTAAAAAGAAAGTAGAATATCCCATCCAAGGTGGGGATGAATAGCACCACATATTATTTTGAGATAAGTAAGGAACACATCCCCTGAGGGATAGGCACTGAGGAAAGAGGGAAGGACAAAGGAGATTGCTTATCATCTTCTTCTTACCTATAAAATCCCATTTGTTCAAGACCATGCTGATCCCATTTATACAAGATTATGTTGAAGTGCGGTCTCTCCAGAGAAACCTCCTCCCCAACCCCAACTCCTTAAGGAAAAGTTCTAAATTCAGGTGAGAGGTGAAGGATCCTGTTCTATCCTTGTCTTTGAGCTCAGGTTCACCAACTCTCACCCCCTCATTCCTCCCCTTATTAACATGAAGTTAATTTTCAAGAATTGTAGACATTTAAGCACACGCCATATATTCAGCCCTTCATCAGGACTTATCCCAATGGAAAAGAAGATGGGATAGGGACCAAGTTACACATTGCATGTGCAGTACCTCACTTCCCATCCTTCATCAACAACAAGTGAGGGCAAGTTCAGAAGAACTGAAATTCCAGTGGACAGAAAAGGATGAGTAATTTTGATTACCCTTCTTCAATTGCCAGAGTTCTGTTTTTTAGCTTCCCGACTGCCAGGTTAAAGGAAGAACGAGGGTGACCCTGCTGGGAGGCTTGTCTGAAAGAGAAAGGAAGCAGATAAAGGAGCTAGTAACTAGAAGGAAATAAAGAAGAAAAGCCAAACTACAGAAGGAAATAACCGAGGGAAATCTTCAAAGCAGGATTATTCAAAGTAAGTACCTATAAATGATCATATATTTGCTAGAAATATCATTCAAAAAATGCACAGGTTAGTTTTATCAAAGCCCCAGAGTTGCACATTTTAGGCTTTTAAAATGTTAAACACACACATTGATCAATATTTTAAATGAATTGGGGAAGCGGGGATTTAAGAAGAAAGTTTCTTATTGTACTATGTTATGGAAATACTTCTCTTATTCCATAAATTAAAAATGAAATAAAATTTTTAAAAATTTTAAAAGTAAGGAAAAAAAGCAAGTTTCTAAATCTAGAACAAATAGCAGTCCAGGTAGGTAAATTGTACGTAACTCCTAGAAAAAGCTGCTATAGTTCTTGCCTCCACTTTCTCACTGCTACTTATTTTTCAATCCCTTATCATCTGACTTCTCTCTCTGCCACCACTCAACTGAAACTGCTCTCTCCAAGACTATTAATAACTTTACTAATAAATCCAGTTGACTTTTCTCGGTCCTCAGCCTTCCTGATTCTTTTGCAGGGTCTGTCACAGTTGGCTACCCTCACCTCCCGGATTCTCGTTGCCCTCCGGGTTTTAGAGACACTGCTGTCTCCCAATTCTCCATACTGTGGGACTGATTCTTAACCTCCTTTGCAGGTTCATCATCCCTGTCCCACCCTTGTGTAGCCAAAGGCTCTACCCTTGGCCCTTTACTCTCTACTTCTTCTCTTGGTGATCTTAGCAGTTTCCATAGGTTTACTTAGTTTACTTCCAGATTTAGAACTTTCATGACTGAAAGAACAGTATTATCCTTGATAGAAATGGGGAAGTGGGGGAGAGGGGTGGGTTTGGAGAAAGAATACTATACACTACATGCTACGTACTTATATAGATATTTGATGTCTCCATCAATAAAATTTAAGTTCCTTAAGAAAAGAGATTGTGTGTGTGTGTGTCTGTGTCTGTCTGTCTGTCTGTCTGTCTCTCTCTCTCTCTCTCTCTCTCTCTCTCTCTCTCTCTCTCTCTCTCTCTCTCTCTCTCTCTCTCTCTCTCTCTCTCTCTCTCTCTCCCTCTCCCCTTCCCACTTTTTTTTGTGTGTTTGTATCTCCAGGGCTTAGCATAGGATCTAGTGCATAGGAAGCATTTAATTAATGTGTGGTTGATTGGTTGATTAGAATTGTCCAATGAACAATTGGTGATACTAAGCTGCAACCCAGGAGAGAGACTGGGTCTAGACAGATCTGGGAGTCATCTATATCAGAGGGGTCAAACACTCAGCCCGCAACTCTTCAAGTATGACCTGAATCATATTAAAATGCAACTGGGAAATGTTTAACAAAATAAATAAAACCAAAATAGAACATAGATAGTGTTAATATATGGGTTTTTTTAAATCAATATGTGACTCACAGGGATCCAGTTACAAGAATTAATGGCCCCTATTGATGCCACTAATCTACACAGAGATAATTATTGGAACCCAATGGAGCTGATGAGGTCACCAAAAGAGAGGCTATAGAGAAACAAGAAGGGGGCCCAGGACAGAGCCTTGGGAGACACCCACAGTGGAAAGGATGATGATTCAGCTAAGGAGACAGAGGAACTAAGTAAGATAATGTAAGTAAATGGCAGCTATTTTCAAAGGAAGGAAACCCACTTTAACTTTGATAATACAGCCCCAGCATTGTCTTTTGGGTTTGCACCAAGTTTATTGCTGCCCTCACCTCCTACAGCATAGTCACTGTGTGCATTGTTCAGAAGACTTAAAAGCAGGTCCTGAGTCCAGATATCTTTCAGCCTCCCAGTTCACTACGCCACCCTGCCTTTGCAGAGGGTTCCATGATACATAGACACCATTTTTGTTCCACCACTCCCCAGTTATTGGGCATGCCTCTTGATTCTAGAAGTTTTTTTAATCAATAATTCATAATGCTGTTATGAATATTTTTGCAGATATAGGTCTAATGGAACAAGTCTGATAGGTACATATAGATCTGAGGAAGCATATCTCTGGGTCAGAGAATATAAACCGTACAGCCTTTCTTGCATACTTCTTAATTGTTTGCCGGAAGAGCTGGATTAATTCATAGCTCCACCAGTGGTGAATTCTCATTCTTATTTATTAGCTGTTTCCCTCCACCCCTTCCCTTAAAAAAAAAATCACCTACTTGTTGCTAAAATCAGGAGATTATTATTTAAATCCCAAATTACCGGCTTCTTCAAACAGGAGTGTAAGTACTCTTTTCTTTAGAGAGGCAGCTAAGTGGCACAGTGGATAGAGCTCTGGGTCTGAAGTCAAGAAGACCTGAGTCCAAATCCAACCTCAGGCACTTACTAGCTCTGTGACTCTGGGCAAGTCACTTAACCTCGATTTCCTTAACTGTAAAATAAGGATGGTTATTGTACCTACCTTCTGAGGTTGTTGAGAGGATCATGAAATTATATTTGTAAAGCACCTGACACATAGTAGGTGATTAATAAATCTTGTTCCCTTCCTTCCTTTATAACACCAAATGATTATAGACTTATAGACTAGATATAGATTATATATAGACATAGATTATAGACTAGATGGGACCTAAATGTCACTTAGTTCCACTACCTCGTTTTATATATACCACTCCCGCTCAAGGTGATCTTGGGCAATTACCTGAAGGACAATCATGTGACTCTGTGTATTGTGTGTGTGGGTGAAGGGAGAAGTAACTTGTTTTATTTCATGAATTTAAATTTTTTTCTTAAAAAGAGAAGTAACTTAAGGGGAACTGTGCAAGCCCAAAGTGAGGAAGGGATGTTACATACAAATGAGGAAAATAGAGCCCAGAGTTTAAAAAGAAAATGTGACCCAGAACACAAAGGTAGTAAGTGATAGAAGCAGAATTTGAACCCAGATCCTCTGGTGTCCAAAAGCAGCATTCTTTCCACTGTATGATGCTGCCCTTCCATGTTGCAAAATTGTACAGAAAACTATGTAGAATCTGTGGCCATCTAGGTGCACAAACTCAGTGCTGTTTAAATAGAATTTTAAATCACAGAACCTCAAATGTCACATGCTATGATGAACTTGCTTTTCTACAATTTTCCCCTAGTAAACACAATGGAGAATAGAATAGAATCACGTGACGAGGTGTAACCCCTGTCACAAGAGTCTTCTTCAAGCTTCCAGTCAATTTCCAGTTCAAAAGGGAAGCTGAAAGAGGCCAAGCCCACTTCAGGTTGTTGAAGTAAAAGACTCTGGAAAGACATGAAAGGAGCTGGCATCACGTCTCCATCATGTCTCTACCCCCCAGCTTGCTAATCTAGAGACTGAGGAATTTCACCCTGAGTGAGATCCAGGACCCTCTCCCTTGGTTAAGCTTAAGGAGGAGGGAGGGGAGGGAAGGAGGGAGGAAATTTGAAACTAAAATTTTATTTTAAGAATGAATGTTGGGGCAGCTAAGTGGCGCAGTGGATAGAGCAGCGGCCCTGAATTCAGGAGGACCTGAGTTCAAATCTGGACTTAGACACATAACACTTAACTAGCTGTGTGACCCTGGGCAAGTCACTTAACCCCATTGTCTAGCCAAAAAAAAAAAATGAATGAATGTTACTGGGGGGGGGTGCAGTTAGGTGGCACAGTGGATAGAGCACCAGCCCTGAATTCGGGAGGACCTGAGTTCAAATCCAGCTTCAGAAACATAACACTTACTAGCTCTGTGACCCTGGGCAAATCACTTAACCCCAATTGCCTCACCAAAAAGAAAAGGAAAAAAAGAAAAAAATGAATGTTAAGAATTGTCTTTATATATAATTAGAAAAAATAAAGTAATATTTAAAAGAAAAAGAAAAAAAGAGCCAGAGGCCCTCATAGCAAACCGTGCAAAAGCAGAATGATGTAATAGATTTAAAGTCAGAAGAATGGAATAAAAGGACTTGGCAGTCAATCCTGTCCTCTACCACTTATGAACTATGTTACTTTGGGTGAGTATCGAATTGGAACTTCCTGGAAAATGAGCTATCTGGACTAGATGATCTCAAAATTCTTTTTCAGTTCTAAAATATTATGATCCTATGGTGAAAGAAATTTTGAAATTCCAAGACTTCAAATAAAAGAATTCACCCTGAGTATTCCACTGTAAACTAGAGGTTAAAGGAATAGGCTTCTTGATTTATTTGGGTTTTTTTTTTCCTGATGTATTTTTTTAGCAAACTACTCACTGAAAGGAAGAATGAGAATGTGTGAGTAGGATTAGGAGGCTTCCCCTTCTGAAAAGCCACAGGTGTAAACAATATGCTCTACTTTGCCCAAACTCATTTCAAGCTCTATAAGAATCTGAGTCTTGAAGCTTAGGAATGATTGAACAGGGACCCTTAAAACTCAACGTGATGGAAACATTGCAGCATTTGGGACTTTGAGCATCTAGCAAATATGGACCATTATGCAGCAGATGTCCATTTTCTGTTAAATGGGTCTGGACAGCCCTTAAGCAGTCTTTAAGTACGGCTATTTTTGTTGCATGCCCACCCTATATTCTATTTGTTCCCCACCACCTGTCTCCATGCTGGCAGTGCTCCTGGCATCTTCAAAGCCACTTTATTTCCATCCACTACCCTCCCAGAGGAGCATGAAAAGGGAGCTGCCATGAGCCAGGTACGAATCTCCAAAGTTATTCTCAGCTTCCTATAAATAATGACTCTCCTAAAACAAGCCTTGTTTTTGTACGAGAGCCCCAAAGACCAGAGCTAGACAAGCAAAACAGAGAGAGCTGTGTGGAAGTAGGACTGTGAAGACAGGTATTTGGTTTATTGGGAAAACCAGATTTTTAACATATATATTTGAATCATAAAGAGGCTTCATCTGGGTTTTTCCATCAGTATGAAAATGTACAATTTACAGATAATTATCCATGATATTTGCAGGTTCAACAAGTCTAACAACGCAACAAATCCAGTATTGCTGAGTTTTTGATCTGCTATTTAGCTAGAATAGTACATGTTACAATTAGCCCTGCAATGCTCCAACCCTTACTGTTAGAACCTAAGCATTGCCTCAAAATGAGATCTTGGCTTGAAAAAGCTAAGGCCCCCACTGCATCCTGGGCCATCTCCAGTTGTCCTGATCTAGATCTGGCCACTGGACCCAGATGGCTCCGGAGGAGAGAGTGGGGCTGGTGACTTTGCACAGCCCTGCCTCACTTAAATCCAATTCACTTGCATGTCATGGCATCACCTCCCTGATAGCGTGGTCTTCTTTGAGAATAAAGAACAAACAACAAGAAGTTACTTAACATTCTTGAGTCCAAATTTCCTCGTCTACAAAATGGTGAAATGATATTTTCGATACTTATTTTGCAGAGCTGTTGTGAGGAAGCTGCTTAATAAGTCTTAAGTAATAGGTAGCTTTAAGTTAGTGTAATGTCTGTTAGCTGTTATTTGCTTTAATTATCTGAATCTGTCTAGGTTTTCTCAAATAGAGAGGATAACTACGCAGCCCTCTTCTTTCTTTGCATCACCTACTTTGAAATGTATTTTTTAATTTTTCCTCAAGAAGGATAAAAAGGGAGACAAAACCAAGACTATAAGAAAAGCAGTAGGCTAGACTCATTCAAGGATGGGGGAGGTCTTACTGCTTCCTAAAATGCCCTCAAGAGAGTTCGATGTTCTTTAAAAAAAACAACAACAACAATCTCTTGAATTCCAATGTTGTAACAAACTGGAAGTTTCTTACCTAAACCAGTGCATTGCCATCTCTTCATTCTTGACCACACCAGCTCCTGAAGAAAAGAGCAAAACAAGTTACAGAGAGGAAGACAAATTAAATGAAACTGCTTGTCACTCCAGGTTTAGCTGTAGATCTGTTGCTGACTCCTAACCACTGTGCCCTCCCCCAAATAGACTGTGCTCTAGCTGGGGACAGAGGTTTACCTTTCAGATATCTCTGTCCTAGGATGTGCTGGGCATTGGGGTAGCCCAGGTGGGCATACAAATGGACCACCTGGAAATGGAAGTTGTCATGATACTGCCAGATGTAAAGCAGGAAGACCAGGGAGCCCATGACAAGCATTACCTACAAAAAAGAGACGGAGAAAGGAAGGAGATGAAAGAATCAGATGGGGAAGGACACGGCAAGCCACTCCAGTATCTCTGCCAAGAAAACCCCGAAGGGGGTCACAAAGAGTGGGACACAACTGAAATGACTCAACAACAGAAACAGAAGAATCAGATATGCTGGAATACAGAAAATCAGAGAGTAGATTTTATATTCTGGAGGACACAAAAAGAAACCAGAATCACAGCATCGTCGAGTTGGAAAAGACCTCAGAGGCCATCTAGCATAAACCATCCCTGAAAAAGAAACCCTTTTACAAAACACCTAACTAAGGATCATCTGGCCTTTACTTGAAGCCGTCCATCCATGAAAGGGGCACCTACTGTCTCCTTTGATGGCTCACTCCACTTGCAGAAAGTACTAATTGTTTCGAAATTTTTCTGTATATCGAATCTAAATTTGCCTTCTTTCAACTTCTACCTATTGCTACTGAGTCTGCCAATTGAGGCCAAGCAAGTGTAATACAGCTTTCACACCACAGTCCTTCACATTCTTTTTTTTTAAATAGTTTTAAATTTTATTTCATTAAATATTGCTCAAATGTTCAACTTAGACTTTTCCGCCTCCATCCTTTGCATATGACCCCTTCCTCCTATTGGTTAGTTCCTCTCCAGAACTTGTATTCGAGAACTCATCCCATCTAGCTATGACTTCCTTCTCTCCAATTATTGCTCGATTTTTAATGCTCATTTTTAAAAATTTTGAGTTCCAAATTCTTTTCCTCCCTCTTTTTCCTCCTCCTTCAAAAGGGAAGTAGTTTGATGTAGATTATACACATAAAGCCATGCAAAACATGTTTCCATATTAGCCATGCTGCTAAAGAAAACAAACTTCTCCCCCTCCAAAAAAAAAAAAGAAAAAGGAAAAAAGGAAAAGCATGCTTCAATTTGCATTCAGACTTCATCAGTTCTTTCTCTGAAGGCAGATAATGTTTTTCAACATAAGTCCAAAATTGTCTTGGATCATTATACTGATCAGAATAGCTAAGTCATTAACATTTAATCATTGTACAATATTGTTACTATGTACAATGTTCTCCTGGTTCTGCTCACTTCACTTTGCATCAGTTCATGCAAGTCCTCCTGGTTTTTTCTGAAACCATCCTACTCATCATTTCTTATAGCGCAATACTGTTCCATCACAATCTATACCACAACTTGTTCAGCCATTCCCCAATTGATGGAAATCCCCTCAATTACCAATTCTTTGCCACCACAAAAAGAGCTTCTATAAATATTTTACGCATATAGGTCCTTTTCCTTTTCCTTTGATCTCTTTGAGATACATACCTGGTAGTGGTATTACTGGATCAAAGGGTATGCACCATTTAATAGCCCTTTGGGCATAGTTCCAAATTACTCTCCAGAATGATTGGATCAGTTCACAACTCCACCAACAGTGCATTAGTGTCCCAATTTTTCCATTTATCATTTTCTTTTTCTCTCATATTAGCCAATCTGATAGGTGTGGGATGGTGCCTCGAAGTTGTTTTAATTTGCATTTCTCTAATCAGTAGTGATTTAGAGGATTTTTTTCATATGACAATAGATAGCTTTAATTTCTTCTTCTGAAAACTGCCTGTTCATATCCTTTAACAATTCTTCAACTGAGGAATGACTTGTATTTTTATAAATTTGACTCCATTCTCTACATAGCTGAGAAATGAGGCCCTTATCAGAGAAACTTGCTGTGAAAATTGTTTCCCAGTTTCTTGCTTTCTTTCCAATCTTGGCTGCAATCTGAGTGACCGAGAAAAACACTCTTCTCTCCTGGTTCCACTCCTGACTACTTAGACTCTTCCACCTCCATTCTTTGCATACAACCCCTTCCTCCTATTGGATAGTTCCTCTCCAGAACTTTTATTCGAGAACTCATCCCATCTAGCCATGACTTACTTCTCTCCAAGCCCACTCCTGACTCTCTGGATTTTTCCACCCTACATCACCACTACAATTCACCCTGCCTTCCTTTTCTACCACCCACCCCTACTTTTCAGCTCCCTTTTATAAGTGATCTTCTCCCTTTTATTTTCCCTTTATATTAAAATATAAGCTCCTTAAGGGCAGGGACTGTCTTTTTGCCTATATTTATATTTCCAGTGCCTGTCTTATAGTAAGTGCTTAATAAATGTTTGTTGACTGACCTACCAAGACTGGCAGTCATTAAGCATTTATTAAGTACCTACTATGTGCCAGGAATTGTGCTAAGCACTTGAGGAACAAAGAAGTGATCAACATTTCCAGTGTACATCCCTTCCCCTCACATTGGGCCACTTCCATGGTATAGACCTATGTCGCCCAAAGGAGACCATTGTCATAGTTTTCTACTTAATATCTCTGCCCTAAGTCTCTCCCCTCTCCATTACATCCTATATACAACCGCCACCTAAAGCATAGCTCTGACCTTATCACTCCCTTGTCCAAGAAGATCTAGTGAATCCATATTGCCTCTAGGAAAAAATATAACCTCTCTGGAACTGGAAGCCTTTCACCACCTGGCAGCTGGCTGCTTTTCCAGGCTTATTATACATCATTTCCCTACATGTACTCCATCTATGGGCAGGCCAAATCGACCTACCCGCTGTTGGTCACACAAGACACTAACCTTCATACCTTGACAGAGGCTAATCCCCAAGCATGGAACACCCTTTCTCCTCACGCTTTAGTCCCCAGTTTCAGACAAAGATGAACTCAATTGCCACCTCCTCCATGAGGCTTTTCCTGATCCCACCACCACCCCAGCTACTAGCTCCCTTCCATTATCTTGTATTTACTTTGTATATATTTTTGTATCATTTATATGTGTACATGTTATCCACTCTCTTCTCTCTCCTTCCCTCTTTCCCCAGCTCAGGTTAAGCTCCTAGAAAGGATCACGATTTCTTTGTTGTCTTTGTGCTCCCCACAATGCCTGACACACAATAGATCCTTCGTAAAAGCTTGTCGATTAATTAATCCACCCTTTTGGAGGGGGACAAGCTCATAAAATAGATCTTGGGCAAGTAAGTGGCTTGATGGAATGGCTTCATCAAAATTCCACATTGAGAATAAACTTTTTATCAAGCGTGCTTCTCATTTTTATTTCCTACCACTCTGAAACGAAGAGGGAAAACCTTTGGCTCTTCCAGGTTTTAGCTGAAGAAAAATCAACAACAAGGCAGTCTAAAATGAAGCAATGACCCCAACAGAAGGAGACAGTGGCAGTAAGATATTTTAAATCTAAGGCTACCACAGAGTCCCAGAAGAAGCTTGGTTAAGTTAGAAAATCTTTGCAATACTTCAGATTCTCTGGGCATATGTTTGGGGGTTTTTTGAGGCAATCAAAGCTAAGTGACTTGCCCCAGGGTCACACAGGTAGTTAAGTGTCTAAAGCCAGATTTGACCTCAGGTTTTCCTGTTTCCAGGGCTGGTGCTATATCGCCTGCACTGGGTATGTGTCTTGTCTTGAAATCTGGAAACATTTTATCCATCTTTAACACCTTCAATAAAGAGGATAAGGATAGATATTACACCTGTGATGTCCGTGGTATGAGGAATTTCCAGATGAAGATTCTACCAGTATGGGTCACCTTTTCTGCTAATCTTATTTATAGCTGCCTAGAGAGTAGTAAAAAGTTAGATGAGATGTCCAGGGTCACATAGCTAGTATGTGTCAAACTGAAGACTTGAACCCAGGCTCCGTGGGTGGCTCCTCTAACCAGTATACCATGTTGTCTCTCTTCATTAATTGTGCATCTGAATAATGGTTGCTACTTTCAAGGGGGAAAATGATAATGACTACCATGTTTGAAATGCCTGACTCAGAATGTCAAAAACTCACTTGCAACTAGAACAGCTAAACAACTTAAAACAGCCAAGAGCTCCAAGGCATCAACTGAAGTGGTCAAAAATCAATCGCTCAGGGGCAGCTAGGTGGCGCAGTGGATAGAGCACCGGCCCTGAAGTCAGGAGGACCTGAGTTCAAATCTGGCCTCAGACCAAACACTTGACACTTACTAGCTGTGTGACCCTGGGCAAGTCACTTAACCCCAATTGCCTAAAAGCAAAAAAAAAAAAATCAATCGCTCAACATGGGATATGTATATATTAAGCTGACCTACCTTATCTGTCATGTCATTAGATTGTAAGCTCCTTGAGGGTAGGGACTGTCTTTTGCCCTTTTTTGTATTCCTAACCCCTAGCACAGTGCCTGGCACATAATGCACGTTTAATAAATGTTTTGGAGTTTTTTTTACTGATTGTTTATTAAGTGACCTACCTTGTGCCTAACATAATGGTGATACAAATTAAAAAGTGGCATAGTCCCTGCCTTCAGGGAGTTTATGTTCATTTAATGAAGTAGCTAAAAAACATTAGTTCAAAACTGGAAAAAAAAAATGGTTTTCCTCTCTATTTTTGGAAATGCAAACCAGATTCAAAGATCTGGTAGATGAAGGCTTATTCCAAGGCACTTTTTTTTTGGCAAATTGATGCAAAAATATCAGGATAGGGGAGTGGAAATAGAGATTCCTTCTTTCCTCTAACACTAGCACTGCCTTGGTACAGGTCAGCATTGCCTCATACCTGCTGGTTGGTCTGCCTGCCATCTCCACTGCAGTCCATCCTTCACTTAACTACCAACGTGACTTTCCTAAATCTGAGGTCTGAGTGTGTCACCCCCAGCCCCTGCTTGGTAAACTTCAGTGACTCCCTATCACCTCCAGGATCAAATATAAATAAATAAAATAAATAGAACAGATAAAGTAAATATAAAATCCTTTTTGGCTTTTAAAGCCCTTCGTAACCCAGTGTTCTTCCTACTTTTCCCATTTTCTTACACCTTACTCCCACCATGTACTCTGCAATCCAGTGATATGGGTTTGCTATTTCTCAAATTGGACATCAGCTAAGTAGAGCAGAAGATAGAGTGCTGGGTCTAAAGTCAGGGAAGACCAGAGTTCAAATCACTCTCATACACTG